GATTATAGGCAATTGAACAAGGTAACAATTAAGAACAAGTATCCTTTGCCTCGCATTGATGATTTATTTGACCAGCTTCAGGGAGCGAGGGTGTTCTTCTAAATTGTTCTCTGTTCGGGTTATCAGCAGTTGAAGATCAGGGATTCAGATATTCTTAAGATTGCTTTCAGGACTAGATATGGTCATTATGAGTTCCTTGTTATGTTCTTCGGGCTGACCAATGCCCCAACAGCGTTCATGCATTTGATGAACAACGTGTTTCGGCCTTATCTTGATTCGTTTGTTATAGTATTCATTGATGACATTCTGGTGTACTTATANNTTTCTTGGTTTGGCAGGCTATTATCGTCGGTTTGTTCAGGGATTCTCATCTATCGCATCGCCCTTGAACAAGTTGACTCAGAAGGGTGTTTTATTTGTATGGTCGGACGAGTGTGAAGAGAGCTTTCAGAAGCTCAAGACAACTTTGATCACAACTCCAGTGTTGGCTTTGTCATTAGCTTCAGGTTCATATACCGTGTATTGTGATGCTTTGAGAGTTGGGATTGGTTGTGTATTGATGCAGGAGGGTAGAGTTATTGCTTATGCTTCTCGTCAGTTGAAGCCCCATGAGAAGAACTACCATGTTTATGATTTGGAGTTGGCTGCCATAGTTCATGCATTAAAGATTTGGAGGCATTATTTGTATGGTGTATCTTGTGAGATATTCACCGATCATANTTTGGAGTTGGCTGCCATAGTTCATGCATTGAAGATTTGGAGGCATTACTTGTATGGCGTATCTTGTGAGGTGTTCACTGATCATCGCAGTCTTCAGCATTTGTTCAAGCAAAAGGATCTTAATTTGAGGCAGCGGAGATGGTTGGAGTTGCTTAAGGATTATGATATCACCATATAGTATCATCCGGGAAAGGCCAATGTAGTGGCTGATACGTTGAGCCAAAAGGCAGTGAGTATGGGGAGTTTGGCATATATTCCAGTTGGGGAGAGACCTCTTGCAATTGATTTTCAGGCCTTGGCCAATCAATTTGTGAGGTTGGATATTTCGGAGTCCAATCGAGTATTGGCATGTGTGGTTTCTCGGTCTTCCTTATATGATCGCATCAGAGAGCGCCAGTATGATGATCCGCATTTGCTTGTCCTTTCGGATAGGGTTCAGCATGATGATGCCAGAGATGTGACCATTGGTGACAATGGTGTGTTTAGGATGCAGGGCCGGATTTGTGTGCCCAATGTGGATGGGCTTAGAGAGTTGATTCTGGAGGAGGCCCATAGCTCGCGGTATTCTATCCATCCGGGTACCGCGAAGATGTACCAGGATTTGAGGCAGCACTATTGGTGGAGAAGAATGAAGAAAGATATTGTGGGATTTGTAGCTCGGTATCTCAACTGTCAGCAGGTAAAATATGAGCATTAGAGACCGGGTGGCTTGCTTCAGCAGATGGTCATTCCGGAAGTGGGAGAGGATCACTATGGACTTTGTTGTTGGACTTCCACGGACTTTGAAGAAGTTCGATGCTATTTGGGTGATTGTAGATCGGCTGACCAAGTCCGTACACTTCATTCCTGTGTGTATTACTTATTCTTTAGAGCGGTTAGCAGAGATATATATCAGGGAGATTATTCGGCTGCATGGTGTTCCAGTTTCTATTATTTCAGATCGGGGTACTCAGTTTACTTCGTAGTTTTGGAGAGTCGTACAAAGAGAGTTGGGTACTCAGGTGGAGTTGAGCAAATCATTTCATCCTCAGACGGACGGACAGTCTGAGCGAACTATTCAGATATTGGAGGACATGTTGCGTGCTTGTGTTATTGATTTTGGAGGTTCATGGGATGAGTTTTTGCCGCTTGCAGAGTTTGCCTACAACAACAACTACCAGTCGAGTATTCAGATGTTTCTTCACCTCGCGCCCAAACGATTTAGCGACTCCTATTCTAAGAAAACTAGCACCTTAGAAGACTTCAGAAAATCGCCTCCTCTTCGTTTCCTCATCTCTCACTCGTCAGGTTCTGTCTCGCTGGCGAGCTGGTCATATCCGACGAGAACATTTTGTTGCTACATTTGTTTTGTTTTGATTTGCGGTCTTTGAGTATGAGAGCAGATTTAAGTCAAGGTTGATTTGAGTTCGTCGTTGGTGATAGATTTCCGGTGCCGATTCGAGTTTTCATCCACAATTTGTCATTCAAGACTGCGATACAATCAAATTTTAGATTTAACGAGGAATTTGTCTATTCCTTGGACTGATGGTAGATAGGCTACACCATTACATAAGGGATCTTTGCTTACTTAGGAAGACGATGGAAGCTGTAAAGAAGCATACTACGCGATCTTCTCCACGCCAAAGAACTCACAACCACTGATTTTTCTTCAAAAGACACAGACACACACACAATTGTTCGACTCTAAGAAACTGCTAACCAATCAATTGATGATATCATGAGTATTTAAACAAATTCCTTCTCATTTCCTAATTGACTTTCCTCATTCCTAAATCCATCTTCTCATTTCTTTGGCCTACACTTTTAAGTCTGAACCATGGGTGGTGATAACACTGAGAAGTACAATTCTAGTTCAGCATTTATTGCTGAGATAGGGTCTCCAAATTGCTGAAACATCGTAGGCTTCGAGCTCTCGAATTACAGTTATGCTAGGACACAGCGGTCAGTTCGGATAGAATTTCGATTTGGGTTCAAGAGATTCGAGTTTTCTGGCAAGTTTCGAGGTCGTCGAAGGTTGTAGTCCGATGTTTCCGGGCAGATTCGCGGTTCTATCGCAATATTATTTTGGAACTCTGTTCTTTTTCTTCAAGGTCCGTCTCTCGTTTCCTCTCTTAGATATTTATTTTCTTATCTTTGTGTGGCTATCTAATTTTTTTAAACATGTGATAAATTTCAGGGGAGTTTTCTTTAGTCACTTAGATTGTTAATCAAGAGAGATCACTTCACTATATATGCTTTACTGTTTCCTTCTATGTTTTAATCAATCAAGTATTTTGGATGCATGTTCTAATATTGTTCATCCATGTTTGCATTACTAGTTTCTCATTTTTAAAATGTTAGAACTTTGTAGCAGATAGAGAAGGGGGGAGTACAGGGGACGTCATGGCTTTTCCTATTTTATCGTAATGGCTTTTGTTTATAAGTTTATTGATATCAGGTGCCTTTGGATAGTTATTTGTTAGATGTGTTAACGTCTTTATTTAGTTTGGATAAGTTGCTTGAAATGGGTCATGGGGATATAATCCAAACAAGGGAATTGGACCGGAAATGTTTAATTATTTTGCTTTCCTTATTTTCTTAAACGCTAGTAGCATGTTTTAGGCCGACCACATTCGGGTAGGAAAACTTTAGGCTTTCTTCCTTTCATTTGAGGTAAGAGGTCGTCCCTTAGTTCATTATCCGGGGAATGCCCCGAAGGATTTGTATATAGTTTATTTCGGGGAATACCCCGAAGAACTTTGTAAATATTTAGTATTTACGATTTTGCTTTACACTTTTCTTTTATTAGATGAGGACGACCTCAAGCCTCTTTTTGTGTTTATTTGCCTCTTATGTGTTTTTTTTACCTAAATTTGAATATTCTAAAAGCCAACTAGATCGAGTACGCAACCGTGATTTTCACGGGACTTGGGGAGTACCTAACACTTTCTCCTCGAGTCAAATGAACCCCCTTACCTGAATCTCTGGTGCAGACTTAGTTTGGAGTCCAAAGTATTTTAAATGAAAAATTATTTTTTAAGAAAAACGGTGACCTGGCACACCGAAACCAATGTCAGGTGGCGACTCTGAGTTTTTTTTCTTTTTGAACACAATTTTTGTCACTTTTTAATTAAAACCCTTGTTTGTGCTTTACTAATCTTTTTATTATTTATAAGAGGGTTAGTGAGTGTGTAAAAAAAGGATGTGATATCTCTAGCGACTCTGCTGGGGAGTTGCAGGTTCGAGCTAGTACTTGATCTTGTTGGCTTTTTAGCTTGTTCAGTTGAGGTTTTTATGTGTTTTGTTTGCTTTATTTGATTTTTATTTTTATGTCGTTTTATTATTTGCTAGTTGCTTATTTGTTTACAGTTTTTACTTTATGTGTTACTGCTTTATAAATTGTCATCATTTGCATAACCCCGAGTCTTCTTTCTACAACAAGTCTTCCGGAGTACGTTAGAGCGTACACGGCCTTTTTGTGAGTCACTCGTGTCTTTAGGGGGTGGCGTGGGAGCGTGGAGTGGGCGGACAGCTAGAGCAGCTACCATCGACCACGTGCCACCCCGAATGCCTTGTCTAGTGAACCCCAAACGTAGGTCAGCCTTTAGGTCATGCTTATTTGCATCATATCATTTAAACCTAGTAGGGCTCGGTCCCAGGCACCGTGTCCCTTTGTAGAAAACCTATCCAAATTTTGTCAAAAATGGGTACGTGGCCAAAAAAAAAATTCAATCATCCTTATGTGATACATGTTGCATCTTTGAGGGTAAAAAGGTCATTTGGTGGACTGATGTTTGGGAAAGAAGGGTGAAAAATGTAGCAAGTAGGGCCTAGTTATATTTTTCTTTCACAACATTTTCAAAAAAAAAAAAGACCAAAAAAAATGAAAATGAAAAAAGATTTTACACTTTCCCATCATTTTCCAAAAAATCAAAAAAAGAAAGAAAGAAAAAATCCAAAAAGATTTTACATCTTCCATCATTTTTCAAAAAGACAAAAAAATATTTTTTTCCAAATTAGTGTCATTTTTTAAGCTTTCTCCCATGTCCAATCTGTCTGAACTACGCATACCTGATTCTCGTCTCTTGGGGTGGGATACATAGGCAACCCATATAGGGTCCGGTCTTCCTAGTGAGTCTTAGGTTCTTGGCTTTGCGGGATCTTAGCCAAAATTTGCATGTCTAGCCACTATTGGCCATATCGGCCATTATTGTAAAATGGGGTCATTTTCGCAAAAGTGGTTCAATTACCCATGTCTTAGGATCTTAAGTCCACAACTAGGTATCATATTACTTTAAGGTCCGTCCTTATTGAGTTTGCATCTTTAGCCACTTTTGGCCATATCGGTCGCTTTTGCAAAATGGGTCATTTCTGCAAATTAATTTTGGGCCATGATTATTGGGAGTTTGAATCCATATAAGCCTTAGTGAAGTATTTTTCCATGTCTTTGAGGTCATCTTTGTTGAGTTTGCCCTAATAGCCACATTTTGGCTACGTAGGTCATTTTACAAATAGCCCAATCGCGTCTTGCATGTGTCTAATAGAAGGTGTCGTGGCGTCACATGTGTCTTTTGATTCACTAACTCTATTTGATCTTATTTTTTCCATTCAGGTATGGAGCAATTTGCTAGAGTTTGAGCATGACAAATACCCCAGGACCATTCTAGTCAGGACCATTGTATGCACGAGCTGCTTGAGGAATTTTTTTTTTATTTTTTAGTCTATTTTATGTTGTCCTTTAATTTTTAGTCTTGTACAATAGTATCGAGTCTGTCAATCTAGTAAAGATTGTCGAGTCTTTTGTTATAGTACTCCCTGTTTTGTATTTGAAAACCCCCAAAAAATAGTATAAATGAAAAATCCCAAAAAGATTTTTATTTCTTAGTTTATTTTGTCCATTACTTTTTTAGAACTACGCTTGATCTGATTTATAAGTGACTTGATACGTAGGCAACCTACATAGGGTTCGATCGAATTATTAAAAAAGAAAAAGAAAAAAGAAAAAGAAAAAAAAGGTGAAATTGTAGATGTGGGAAGTGAGAGGAAAGAAAAGAGTGTTTATCAGAAAGAAAAATGAGCAAGCTAAGAAGTGCTAGAAAAGAAAGAAAAGAGAAGATTGAAATGAGTGAAATTAGGATGATGCCAAATCACCTCGTACCCTCGAAGCCATTCTAGAACCGTCAATTGTTGCTAGGGCATTGCGCGCAATGTGATATTTCTATCTGATAAATGCTCTAATGCTAACCTGGTGGCTTTGTTTTGCTCCCCTTTGTTTCTTTTATTGTTATCATAACATAGGGTGGTTAGTTTGTGGCACTTTGATGATTCTTCCATACAACACAAGGTCAAAGAGCAAGTAGCCATGGCTAGCAAGGAAACAGATACTGGAGTTGTTGACCCGTCGAGGGAGTTTGTGGAGTCGGAGTCTGAATTGAAAGAGCAGGTCCAAAGGTTGAAACAACAGATGGTAGAAATGTATCAGTCTTGGATCGGGGGCATCCTCCACCTTCATTCCCCACTAACTACACTGAAAACCTTACAACTATCCCACCACTATCACAAGCCCAGGTTCCCATTATCGTTGACCTTTCTCCTCAACATGCACCAGGATTTACCCCATACGACAATTACCCTGGCACTTCCTCCCAAACTTTCCATGCTTCACCGGCCAAAATAACCGCATTCCCTGCTCCAGATACCCAATACTATGCCCTGGAACCCACCTTCAAGGTCCCATATCCTTACTCTTACACTCCCCACTTTGAGCCTCATGTTGAAAATGAGAAACCACCCAAGAACGTGGAGTAAGAGGAGATATTTAGGAAGGTAAAGAGTCTGGAGCAATCATTGAGAAATATGCAAGGGTTAGGAAGCCAGGTGCGTGTGGCTTATAAGGATTTGTGTTTGTTCCCTGATGTTCAACTACTTGACGGGTTCAAGATGCCCAAGTTTGACTTGTATGATGGACATGGGGATCATGTAGCTCATCTGAAAGGTTTCTGCAGTAAAATGAGAGGCGTCGGGGAAAAAGACGAATTACTGATGGCATACTTCAGCCAAAGTCTAAGTAGGGCAGCTCTAGAAGGGTACACCCGCCAGGACACCAGCAGGTGGTACACATGGGATGATTTGGCTCAGGCCTTTGCTCGGCATTTTCAGTACAATATAGACATTATCCCGCATTGCCTATCCTCGACCATTTGATCTTAGCCGTTGGTAAGCCTTTCAATGATGTGGTAAAGATGAGAGAAATGGTGGAAGAGGGGCTGAAGTCAAGCAAGATCATGAACTATTCTGCCTTAAAAGCCACAACACAGGCAATTCAGAACGACGCGGGAAGCTTGCCGGGTCAGAAGGAACATGATGATGTTGCCATGGTTGTCTCAAGATCACGACATGGCCCAAGGGTCCGCCTCGCCAATATACTCAGCCTCGACCCCGACCCCAAACCCAAACCTATCCTCGAGCGCCACATAATCCACCTCGGTACTATCCTCCTAATAACATCTTGTCCTCTGTCCAGCCACTGGGTCACCCCAGAAGGCGAGCTCCAGCACCGCAAAATATCTACTAGCCTCTACGAAATTTTTTAGGTGCCCCATAACCCACATCCAAGCCAGGGGTATAGAGGTAAACAAATGTTGAAAGATAAATTTACACCGATAGAAGACTCATATGCAAGCTTGTTTGAGAAATTAAGGCATTATGACCTGATTGCACCTATTCCTCCATATCATGTGGACCCACGTGCAAGAAGCTTTGATCCTTCTAAAAGGTGTGAATACCATTCCAATGCCCAGGGGCACAATGTCGAAAGTTGTCGAGATTTGAAAAGAGAGATAGAAAGAATGATTGAAGAAGAGATAATTGTGGTCCAGGACAATGATACCCAGAACATCGCACAGAATCCTTTATCTTCACATGATGATACACACTTCGTGGGGAGGATGCACCATGACAGAGAGTATGAGAATCCTCTTGGAAACTTGCTGACTGAAGTTAATGATATTGAAATTGGTGAAGGTCCTAGTAATTTTGATGTGCAACCCAGTAGCTAAGATGTCGAGCTTGGAAAGACTCTCTTTTCTTGGCTAGCAAGGGAGGAGTTTTGGTGGTTTATTTTGTTGTCATTTCTGTTGTCCGGGTTATTTCAGGGTTGTATTCCGGACATTGTCTTGTGGCTCAAACCTTTCTTCTTCTTATTTTGTCTAGTTCGTTTAGTTGTAGTAACTCGTCTAGTATTATTTAGGATTGTTCCAAAGTTATAACTCATGTCTATTTTGCTTGTTTTGCTCAAACCCTCTCCACCATCCATCTAATGCAATCTTATGTTTTCTATTAGTTCCAGTCAGTTTTTGTTTAGGTTACTTTTCCTTTTATAGTTCTTTTCATCCTGATTCTAGTGACATGACATGCACGTGCAATTCTTAGCCTGGTCTTGAAAGTTAATTTAATCATGAAGCAATTACACAGTTTTGAACATGATAAAATGAGGCATTTGAGGAAACAAGTAAAGATTCACGCATTCTGAGATAACCTAAAGCTTGAATTGAGTGAAACTGAGGCAGTTAGTCTGGGAAATCGAGAGGTTGATAAGAGCATACAACAAGGAAATATCTCTCAAGCAATTTTGAGGTAAATCAGTCAGTGCTGAAATGCATTCTTCTACATCGAAATAAGGTTGAGTCAAGTCTGCTCTGAACTGGCAAGGGTCATTCATTGAGATAAATGTATTGCCCATTGGCACATTTGTTTGTGTTGATTCCATTAATAGATACTATATATGATTTCTTTGCTTATCTTCAACTGCATGTTTGTATTTTAAAGTTTGGTATGACAATCGCATTTTATTCTGCTACCCAAACACTTTTATCCTTTGCTACCCATTTTGAGCCTAATTTTTGTTTCACGCCCCTCTTTTGGAATCAGAAATAGAGTCATGAACTAGAAAAGGAAAAGAAAAAAGAGAAAGAGAAGAAAAAAAAGGAAAAGAGAAAAAGAAAAAGAAAACAAAAAAAAATAAAAGAAAAAAAAAGGAAAAAGGAAAAACAAAAGAGAGAAGGAAAAGAAAAAAAACTTTGTCCTTTGAACTACGTTCGACCTGATTCTTGACATGTCAATATATGTAGGCAGTCTTACGGTTCGGTCACACCAAATAAAATATTTCATAATCCCCCGAAGTCAAAAGTGAGGCATTTTTTCTTAGAAATCTCATCAAAGCAAAAAAAAGGCAAAAAGCAAAAAAATAATTCCCCAAACTCCAAGAAACTGGGGAAGAAGTTTTAATTTTGCGAAAAGACCTGATTCCAAAAGTTGTAATTTTGAACCCTTTCATTTCAAATTATTTTGAGTCTTCATGTCACCCTTTCTTTCAACCCTGTCCAAAAGCCTACATTACAGTCCAAAGAAAAACCTTCTGACCAATCTTTGAGGATGTCAAATCAAGTGTGTGGTGGAAGTCTTGTATCATGAGTAATACCTTGTTCTCAGCACAAAGAGAGAAAATGATAAAATAAGAGAGTATTATCGGTGAAAACCCTCTTGGGCACCGTAAGGCAGCGGTGAGTTGAGAAAAGAGCAAAATGAGAGAGGCTTGATGGTGAAAACCCTTCAAAGCACTACAAGTCGACTGAGGATTGTGGATCAGATGGGACAATTGAAGCGCTAAAGCCCAGTTTCACAGCGAAGAGGTACAACAAGAGTTGAATAATAGGCTTGCTTGAGAGATTAGGCCACTTAATCCAAAGGTATATGTCATTGTCATTAGAGTTGGTATCCATATCTGATAGGTTTCTACTTTGTAATTTTCTTGTTAGGTATCACCTCTTTCACTTGTCCCTTATTTTGTTCCTCTTATTTTGTTTGAGTCCCTTCTTGAGTCTGTCTGGTCAAAACAAAATGAATTTGGCTAGCACATCAAAGTGCCATAAGTCAGGGAAAAGTGATATGCGCACTGAGTCTTTAACAATCAACTTGCTTTGGGATTCATGTGAAATTCAAGGGTTCGGTAAATGTCAATTCATGAGCAAAATGCAACAAATAGAGGATATTGAGATCTAACAGAGCGGAGGTGTTTTTTGTGATAAGGGTTGAAAAAAATGGGTAGTCGATAACGGTCAAGGTCGTCCAGGTTGAAATCAAAGTTATCTTGGCAAGTGTAGAAGCAGCCGCCCTCAAGGTCAAGGCCACAAACTAACCACCACATTTAAATTCACAAGTTTTCTTTGTTTTAAACAAGAACAAAATATTGCAAGCAAGTTGGTTCAAAAACAAGAAAAAGAGAAGAAAAGAAAAGAAAGAAAGAAAAAAGAAGAGAAAAATCGACAAAGGAAAGTTTCTAAAATCTTTGCCCTTACCTGTCTTGCTAGTGTGCATAAAATGTTGCCATTGCTCTTTACATTTTTCCTCCTAGGATAAAAAGTCCTAGTCTGATGGATTTTCCTCTCAATCAAAATCTTAGTCTGATGAATTTTCTCCTAAGATAAGGGACCTAGTCTGATGAATTTTCTCCTAGGATCAAAATCTTAGTCTGATGAATCTTTCTCCTAAGATAACAAAAAGACCTAGTCTGATGAACTTCCTCCTAGGATTAAAATTTTAGTTTGATGAATCTTTCTCCTAAGTAAGAGACCTAGTCTGATGAATTTTCTCCAAGGATAGAAAATTTTAGTCTGATGAATCTTTCTCCTAAGATAACGAAAAAGGGACCTAGTCTGATGAATTTTCTCCTAGGATCGACATCTTAAACTGATGAATTTTTCTCCTAAGATAGAAGACCTAGTCTGATGAATTTTCTCCTAGGATCAAAAATCTTAGTCTGATGAATTTTTCTCCTA